GGCTATCCAGTGACTATCTATGTTAAGGAAGACCTCAAGGGATCCCAGGAGCAATGAAAGTGAAATGAGAATCCAAAGTATTGAGAAAAAGATAAAGAGTAATAAGTTGAATACTTAAAGATTTTTGCATGAATATGAGTATGACTTTGTAACATGATTGATTGTTGTATTATCTTTATTTTACTGTGTGAATATATACTTGGTAATATGAATAGAGACTCATCTTTACGTAAACATTTTAGGAAACCCAGATGACAACATCCATCGAGAGGATTAGATTAGTAGATAGCTCTGTAACTAATAGACTGAATTACGTATTTAATGAGTATCAAAGACTTTGTTTCTTTAGGATTACTATAGATGTAAATGATGTAACTAGTAATACTATTATGATGGAAATGGAATTAGTTTTTAGTGTCCCTTTTGATTTCCCTTCAAGTAGAATCCATCATACTCTTTGTTTATATTTATTTCCTGGTACTGTGAGGACCCTAACAACTTTGATCTACCTGTTCACGTACCATGACCATGATAATCTTGAGAGGCCATCTCATTGGACGTTTGAGCGGATCACTGGTGCCTAGGTTATTGCAGACCCTAGTGACCTGTATTTCGGATCGGATGATGATCTCGACTCCGATAATATCGCGATGATAGAGGGATGGCACGGGGACGACTAGTGTCTCTCTGGTTGTGTGATGGATATACTGCTCATTAGGACTTATCATATTTTGTATTTTGTAAATGTTGAAAAGTGAGTCCTAATGTATTTTAATGTATATTTGATAAGATTAGTCCAATGTAAACTCTTTAGAACCATATATTTATTAATGTTATTTCATATTCCTTTTTAACTTGTTTAATTTCCATGGATTTGTTTCTCTAAATTTTTATAAGTATAAAGGAAAATCAATGAAATGTTCTATAGTTACATGCTTCATACTCGACTCGCAAATGAATTTGAAGTAATTATTTCTTTTTAACTAATAACTTATTTTCTTATGATTTTGTATAAAATATGGATGGTACAAAGTGGGACAAGAAGAGGTTCAAGTGAAAAAAGAAGATAGGCATGTGGAAGACGAAGAGGTTCATATAAAACAGGGAGATTAGGACCAACCAAAGAAAGTTATGGCAGTGAAACAAAGAAAAAAATCTTCTGCAAAAAGGAAAAAAACTGAGTCAGAAAAAAGAAAAAAAGAAGAAGAAATGTCTACCAAAACATCAAGAATAAGTGACAATATAAGGAACAAAAAAACAAAATCAAATGAGAAAAAAATAAGCAAAACAACAAGAATAAGTGAGAAAAACACAAGCAAAACAGTAAGAACAAGTCAGGAAAAAACAAGCAAAACAACAAGAAAAAGTCAAGAAAAAACAACTAAAACAACAAGAACCAGTGAGAAAAAAAGGAAGACAACAACTTCATATGTTGAGTTTCATATTGATTCCAGTTCTGATGAAAATTTTGAAGTTGAATCTTAATTTGAAGTTGGTTCTACTTTTTCTAATCCCTAATTCATATGTCATAACTCGTATGGAATAATAAGAAGCTTAATATAACATTTTTTTTAATCAATTTTCAAATAAAATTTTTTAGATATGATTAAATAAACGTCGTTAGAACCGCATAAGATACTTCTATTACATTTTCTAATGGTTGTCACAGAAAGGACTAATTGAATAAAAAAAGATACATTAAGAAAGTGAATTTTATCCTAGAGTTACAAAACAAAAAGACTAATTTTACCTTTTTAGAACTGTGTAGTGTTATTTAAGAATAAAATATTATTCTTTGGAGAAAATTTCTAAAATGAGTAGTAAAAGCTATACTTGTATGAAGATAGTGCATGGATAAGAAATGGATACATGGAGTCATTCTATAACCAAATCCAAACCATTTTTAAAGTTTAGGTAATTAATACAACGAGCTTTATTAAGCCCACTTCACATTTTATCAAAGCCTACCTCATTTTTTATCAAATTTATTTTATGATTTATTTATTTAAATTGAAATTTTCTTTTTTTTTTCATCCAAAATCAAATATTTTCTCTTTCTTCCTTTAGGTTTATTGTTGTTCTTATCTTTAGCTCAATGTTGGAACACTATCTATCTCCTTTCATGTTGATGTGATAGTGATAAAACACCCTCACATAGGCAAATAAATTGCAAAAGCAATGAGATTTCAATAACAAATAACATTGGAGGTTGAGAAAGAAAAAATTTAAATAATTTAATTATAAAAAAGACTTAAAAATAATAAATTCTTTATTGTATAAACTATAAATTTATAATATATTATAAAAATTTATTAAATTATATAATAATTTATATTTTTTATTTTTTTAATTTGTAAATTGATTAAGAAGAAATGAACTATGATGAACAAAAGATAGCATTAGAAAATTAAACAATTATCATTAAATTATTATTAAAACACTTTTAACTTTTTGTAAAATTTTAAAAAAATTTAACTAACATTTTCATATTTTATTGACATTTATTTTTATTATTAAATATACTATTCTTCTTTACTCTCCTATTGTTATATATTTTATTTTTTCAATATTAATTTTGTTATTAAGATAATATTTATCTAAATTTTACTCTTAAATCATAAATTTTATATGTATTAACATGTTGTGATTTTAATTAATATAAAATTATTTTTTTGTTAAATAAAAATATTTTTCTCTTTTTAAATTAAACCTAATTCAGGATTCATAATTTTTTTTTCTATTCTCTATCATGATTTTAGTACTTTCAAAATAAGAATAATTAATAATAATTGATATATTAAAATTGTGTATAATTTATTAATATATTATTTTATTTACTATTTAATATTATAATTATGAGAATAAATTTAAAATTTTAAATGAAAAAATTAATAAAAGTTGATATTTTATGATTCTGTAACAATATTTTATTTGTTAATTATTAAATACTATAATAATGATCATAAATTAAAAATTAATTAATTATAATAATTAAAATTATTTAAATACTTAGAGGAGGAAGAATTTTATTGCTTACAGTGAATCAAATTGCATCAAATAAAAAATATTTACAGTATAAATAACAAAAATCATTATAATGAATTAGTAACATAGTTAGAAAATAAATGGATACAATAATAGCTTTGCATTAAAATTATTAATATATATGATTTACTATAACACAAATTTTATGCCAAATTTAAAATATGTTATTTTAAAATTATAAGTTAGTATTTTATACATAATCTATTAAATAAATTTATATTAATATTTACTTTAATTTATTTAAAAAGTAAAAATTAGATTCTAAATGAATTTTACTTTAATATATCTCAGGTATATACCAATTTGATTTAAATATAAGTTTATCTATATTTGCACGTGTATACTTTATATATATATATATATATATATATATTTGTGATTATTTATAAATATTATATAATAATAATAAAATATAAGAGAGAAAAATTTTATGTTTCTTATGTTCGAAATTTAATTTTTTCATTTTACTTTTATTTAATATTAATTCTTAATTAAAATGATAAATGACTAACAAATCATATTAAATTTAGTAAAAAAAATTAAACAAATGCATAATATATATATATATATATATATATATATATATACACACATGTATATATTATCAATTTATATATATGATAGTTTTATAAATAAATATATTTTACATAACAATAAAAATTTAAAATATTAATATAATTTTATTTGCATTTATTATATAATTTGAATGTATTTATATTGAAAGAATAATGCTAGTTTATTATTATTTTTAATGTCTATATTAAACCGCTTATGCAACTATAGCATAATTATTTTTTAAAATAACATTAATTATATTGTATAGAATATTTGATATAAACTTCTAAAAATTATGTATTAAAATAACATTATTTGTATTGAATTCATATTTAGTATTATGTAATTTTTTTTAAAATATGAAAATAATAAATTAACATACATTTTTTTACTCATGTTTAACTTAACTTACATGTTCATTTTAATATAGTATTTTAAATTTATTCATGTACTTTTATCTATTAATTAATAACTAAAGTAAAAACAAAAATATAGGTATTTTATTATTATAAATTTATATACATAATAATTTTGTAAGCTAATTTATTTTTAAATAAATAATTTAATAAAAATCATAAACAAACTTGTAATGGATGTATAATACACAATGTATTTATATTACTTACCATGTTTAATTTATCTTTAAATTTATGATAATTAATTATTTTAATAAACCATAAAATAATAATGTATGGATATATTTAATAATTTATTTAGCATATTTTATTTTTTTAATTTTTCATCCAGAATATTTGGGTGTAGTAAATGAGTTTACCATTAATTTTATAATTAAGTTTAATACTAGAAATTATTTGCATACACACGGATTTAAACCTGAGATTTTGCTTAATTGATATTGAGTCGTTTACCACTCTAATCAACTTCCATCGATTATTTAGCATATTTTAATATTTTAAATATTTATCATAATTAATAATTTTTTATACTATTAAATAATAAAATATCTTTTTTGAAATTTTAAATTAACAAATCTTATACTCTTTAATTTTATTAATTATTTAAAAACAATAACAATATGTAATATAATTTTTTAGATATATATTATAATATTTTAAAATTATTTTTAAATAAAATTATAAATAAAATTATAAATAAATCTGTAGAATATATATATATATATATATATATATATTTTTTTATTTTTACATCTAAGTTTAAATTTAAAAATTAATATATAAATTTTAAACTAAGGTTAATATATATATATATATTAGTCATTAAGGTTGAAATATAAATAAATAAATATATATACTTAATGACTAATTCTGAAATTTCTTTTAAAGAGGCAATTGCAAAATTTGAAACGATGCAAACGGAATAAATAGAATCAAACACCTTTCTGATTTTCCCTCTTCCACAAACTGAAACACCTTTTCTTGGCAACCCAGGCAATTTCCACCAAAGAGTCAAGGAACCCAAAATAACTGTCTTTTATTTCTTTACTTTCTTCTTCTTTTGTGTCCTGTTACTGACTCAGCCAGCTAACTATGGAGGAGTCCCTCCCGCGTCCGCCGTCGCCGATGACCATTGACGGCGCCGACATAGACACCTTGCTGTCAAACTCGTCCGTGTTGACTCGGCGTGAGGTTATAGAGCGACGACTCCGCCGAGTCAGGCAACTCGCTCGGTGTTACAGGTCCCACTACTGGGCCCTAATGGAAGAACTCAGGGCAAAGTACAGAGAGTATTATTGGACCTACGGCAGAAGCCCCTTCAAGGTGGATGACCTTCGCCCAGAGGGCACCGTCGTTTCCCATGAAAACGCAAACGGCACCACCGAAACTGTTAATGTTGGAGACGACCTAGTTCGGTGCGCCTTCGGTGGGTGTAAGTCCAAGGCTATGGCACTCACCAGGTTCTGTCACGCGCATATATTGTCTGATTCCAAACAGAGGCTTTATCGGGGATGCCACATCGTTGCCAAAAAGTGAGTTTTTCTTTTCTTTTTATTTTTTAAATTTTCAATTTCTTTTTTATTTGCTTGTGTGCATCTGAGAAGAAAATAATGCCAATTTCTTTGTCTGATTGGGGTGATAGAACGGGTGTTCCCGCACTGATTAAGGAGCTTTTAGTATTTTATATAATATATTAAATGATTTTAATTATTAGAAAAAAGTAAGAATTTTATGTTTACAATAAAACAATGCTTTTGTTTCCTCACATTTTGGTTAAGGTTTGAGGCATGAATTGTGACTATGCTTTCTCAGAATTGGCTGTGTGGCTTTGGAAAATATGGATTAGGGCATTGGAGCAAACATAATGTGTAATATTTGTGGTTCATGTAACATAAAAAGTTTCTGCTTTAGTTGATGAGAAAAATAGGTCATTGTAAGTTTTGTGCTGTGCCTATGGTTATTGGTTTGTTTTTTTCTTTCGTCCTGAATCTATGGGTAGTTAATAGTTTTCAGTTTCCTATTTAGTTTTAAATGATCAATTTCTGTTCAAGCTGTTTTTTCTTTTTCTGCTTAAACACATTACCTTTTGTTTTTGTTTCAATGATATAATCACAATGAAATATAATTGGAATACTTTTGATCAATGACATGAATTCTGCCTGCCTCAATGTTCTTCAGTTCTTGGACTTGTGGTCCATGATGTCTTATGGCATTTTATTGATCTGATTAATCATGTCTTTCAGATATTGTCAACATAACTTATATACTGAAATATCACTGTAAAACTTCAAAACCCTTATTTCTAGACATCAGTTCCTGACCTAGACTGTGTGTGCATACATGTCAAAAGTGTCCACTTCATTGCATCCCCAGTGCATCATCTTGCACCATACAGTTTTTAGATTTTATACTGTTCCATCTTGCACCATACAGATTTTAGATTTTATACTGAAAACCTTTTTGTTCAAAACTTACACTTTTGTGCCCCTCTTGCTAATTTAATTTATTGAATACTTGTTGGTACTGAATTATTGTTGTCACCATTATGCCTACAATTGATAGTTTGATTTTTTGTCCTTTTCTATTTTTCATGTATTACATATTATGTTCTTAGGGAAACCTAGTGGGAAGCAGTCTTACCTTGCATTTGCAAGTGGTTGATTCCACAACTTAAACCTGTGACCTCCTAGTCACATGGCAACAATTCAACAACTCTAACTGCCTAACCTCCCCTTCATTCCATATTTTTTATTCGTGACGACTTGAATTGTCTGGAGCAGGACTTTACTGACAAGGTTTTTACTTTATGCAGTTTGCCAACAGGGCCTTCATTTTGTAACAAGCCAGTATTGAGATCCGTGGTTCCCTGTGCATGCCCCACTCATTACCAATTAGGTGAAAAGTGTTTGCTTCGTGCAATAAAAAGGGCAGGTTATAATATCTCAACTAATCGTAAGCCTAGTCCGAAGCTACATGTAGTAGTTTCTGAATTTGTCCGCCAAATTCAAAATAAAAGAAAAATTGCACTGAAGGCAACTGTACCTAAACCCATTGTATTGAAAAAACATGAGTAAGTTGTTGATTATTGAATAGATTACTGATTTTCTAAAGACATTGCGCTGTATATAGAGTGGGCAGATTCTATTATCTGAGAAACAGGATTATGATTCAGTGTTGGAAGCATCATCAAGTGTCAATAAAATTGTACTTACCATAAATTGTGAGTACTTTAGGTAAGCCCTTAATTTTTTTCTTGGCTCAATCATTTTACACTTTGTTGGCGTCATCCTATGAGCAGATCATGTTATGTTCTTTACATATGATAGTAATTTGTTGATATTTATTGGGAATCTCAGTCTGAAAATTTATATTCTTGATGATCTTGGCAAAGCCATTTAGTTGTAGTATCTTGGCTCCTTGGTTTTTTTATAGGTGAATGAAAATAGAAAAAGTGTGTGATGAATTCATTTGATCTGTTTAAGTTTCGATATGTCCCTCATCATTGCTCTATTGATGAGTTGGATCACACACATCACTTCAGAGACATTTAAAATTTCTGTTGTTGTGAGAACTTAAACGATGTGAATATGAAACCATGTACAGTTAATTTCACAGCCCTTTTTCAACTAACTGCACATGGGCATGTCTTGACTGTTGTGTTAGTTCTCTTCTTGCATTGCAAATGGTCTTAACTCTTATTAACAGTTCAAAATTGTAAGTGGCTACTAACTCCTTGTGTAATAGTTCCATTTCCAGACTTGCTGACTGTAGTTTGTAGCTACAGTGATGAGTCATGTGTTTAGACTCTGCTGATATCAGGGAACTATGCTATCAAAATGAATACCTGAACCTCATTTTATTTTATTTTATTTAGTCACATATTCTATCATATAATTGTTTAGTTAATGGACTTTAGGTTTGTGAATTGCTTGCGAGTGCTCAATTGTGTGTTTTTCACATTTGAACTCCATATTTACAAACCATGAGGTGTAATTGCATTATCTGTTATGATTTTTCTAAAATGTCCTCATAGGTCTTTTAATTGAAGGAGGGGAAAAGTGTTCATTTTTTTTTTTTTGGGTCAACAAAACTATTCAATTTTGAATAGTATTTAAGCTATTTTCTGTAGGTGATTTTTGGATATTTCTTTAGTTGTATGGACCTGGGTTATGCCTGAAGTCTGTACTTGAAATATATATATTTTTCTCTAAATCAGACTAAACTAAAAGAATAACCAATAACATATATGAATATTTGTACTTCATCATCATGGTACGCACTACACAGTTAAAAACAACATATAGTTAAAATTTATGTTGGATATAGGATTTTTGAATGAAAAGATGAAGTAATCATTGAATTTAATTATTTGACATTTAATGTTATTACTTGGGCACTCAGGCCTTGTCCACAAATCTTTATCCAAATCTGTGCTTTTTTATTAGGCCTAGATTGTTAAGTTGTAGCTTGGCGCTATGACAAGTGAGATGTTCTGTAAAATTCCAATGGCAATAGGGCATTGGTTATTGCTATGTCATCTTTCTTTTAGTTTGATTATTAGATCTTGTATTTATAAAGCCTTAGGCAGAAATTCGGGCAACAATTTCTTGAAGCAGAAATCTGTGTTTGTATTTTTCCATTTCATTTCTTTTCACCACTGTTAACTGCAGAGTTGCAGTTCCATACGATTAATATCTCCCCAAATTTCTGTTTAATTTTCAGTTTGCTGTTGGAGTTAAACCTAGTTGAAGAAGGAAATGAGAACTATTAGTTTTAGCTACCTTCTTCAGCTATTAGATTTTTCTCAAATGTTGTTTTTCATAAAAGAACTTTCTTCTTCCTGAGGATCTTTTTGTTGAACGATTTCCTGGTACTAGATAGTGTTCGGAATTTCTTTGTCGAAAGGTAAATTGTGGAATGAAGTATTGTCTGGGTGCTTTCAATATTCTTTCTGAGCTCATTTTAAAAAACTACACTTTTTTTTTCCTTCCAATAACCAAAAAATGAAGAAGATTCTAGACCTGAGGTAGCATTTAGTGCATGCACAGGATAGAATGAAACATCCTGTTTTCTTTAATTTTCCTTAATTCCATTCTTTTTAGTGGAACCAAAATGTTAGTGTTACCATCTTTTTACCTCGTTCTTTTTTGTTCTGTCTTTAGAAAGTATCAAACATGGAACAAGACTCTATGTTCTGTCCTATTCTAGAATGTCTACCAATGCCTCCTGTGTAGGTTTTAAAATAGCCTGGAATTTATATTCAAACCCCAACACAAACATAAAGTGAAAGGACTGAAAACTAATATTGGATAAAAAGATAGTATTTGTAGTTTTGATAGCATTAAAGTGTTTTATGATTTCTATGATTATTGCTCAAGTGATTAAGCTAATTTTGATTCCTAGTAATTGAAAAATTTACTTCTGTCTGTTCAGGATTATATTGTGTTGAGTTCCAGAATATGACGAGTGTATGTTCAGCCATAGATTGTGAGATATATGATCGAGGTGTGGTAATTGGGGAATCACTACAATGGTCTGGTCCTATTTGGAGGGGATTCGTTTTATTACATATTGTTTTACATGGTCATGAGATGATTTCATGTGAGTTGTGTTTGGCGTGGAGTTAAAAGGTTTCCTGGATAAGGGGTTTAGGTAATGACAAGGGATATATAACACGGTCAAATTGGCCTGTGTAGAGTCGTACACCGCATATTTAGGTAAGATGACAATGCAGGGGGACTAAGGATGCGTTTAGATGTATGACTTATTTGAATGTTTATTCAATAAATTATTTTTAAATGATAATTTATGTTATAAATTGAATGATAAAATCTATTAGGATTAGCTGAATCAACTTTTTTTTAACAAGTTATACTAAGCTTATCGAAATAGTTGTTCTGAAGAACAGCTTATAAGAGTTACAAGTTGTTCATATATTCTTCCAAGTCTTTATCGAAGTTATAGTAATTAAGACAAGTCTTTATCGATGTAGAACCAATCCATTAAGGAAGCAAGTAAAAAGAAGATAAATTTCTTTTCTTGGTCAAGCTATGAAGCATGGAATCTAACATAGACACTAGGACACATTAATGTCCAAAATATAAGACACTGGGACATTGCAGATGTGTGTGAGAGAGCAGCATAACAAAAGAAAAAAAATAAAATTTTTAATTAATATTTGTATACTTAACCTTTTCCTTACGATAATGAGTCCAAAAATTGAAGCATTATTTAACATTTTATATTCTGTAGTCACATTTCTTAAAGTTATTAGTGTATGTCCATCTATATAGAGGTCTTGGCTTGAGTGGTCGAGTTGATAAAAGATATTTTTTTAATTGGATGTTTGATAAGGAGTGTTAGACATGTCTTGGAATAGTGGCAGTGTCAGAAATATATTTGACCCTGGGAAACTTAAAAGAGAGAGGCGTCTATGTGAGGTCATAAATCTTCTATGCAATAAGCTCAAAATTTCTGAGGGAATTCATTAACATACTACTTGTCACCAAATATACCTAGTTAATATGTGTACATCTGTTGTCGTAGCAAACGCCCGACTGGCCTCTCATTGGTTATTCAATTTCAAAAGTCTACTATTCAATTATCTTGCCTCACATGATGCTAAATTTTCCAGGTTAGAATTTATCGTTGTTTTGCATTTTGGGTTGCAATGTATGTAGAACATGATAGTATGTTATGCTAATTTCCTATACTTTTATTCTATATGTACTAGAGTAATGCTGACGCTATTAACTATATCGAAAGTTTATCGGCTTAATGGTGTTCACGGAAATTAAAATGTTGACTTAATGTTGGTCCTGTACCCCATGATGATAAGATATCAGAACATTATAAATGCTTTGGTGATTACTTGCTATTCAGATGGTTTAATTGCAGATAACCACGTTATCAAACCAGCCTATCCTTCATATCCATCATGCTTAGTATGTTTGTCTCTTTATTCTGCATTATGAGACATTTTCTGGCCAAGGTCAGTATTTACCTCTGGCACCCAAAATTATCCCAGTGACCTACCATTTTTTCTGTTGACCCACTGTCTTGTCCCTCTCTGAAATCTATGTACTCTCCCCATTCTCGGTTTTTTAATCTTCACTGTGTTGTGTTTATAAATCTGTTTCTGGTCAATTCAAAGTTCAATTTCAAATTTGTTCGTGCAATTCCAAATTCTAACAGCCGTGGCATTATTTTAACAACCTTACGATATATTGTATGTTTTAGAAATATTTAATTTGAAATTTGAATGTTTAATCATGATAATATCTTCCAACTTTAATTAATGCATGCCGTGCCTCGTGTATGTACACTAGTTGGTATTCCTCCCAGTTGTAAGAAGAGAGATTTATGTGTTATTAAGTTACGTTTTGTGACACATGGAACGAATTCCTGTAAGCAGTAGAACAATAGAAGGAGACGAGTTTCATGCTTTGTTTAGATGAAAAGTGAACTTTGGAGGAATGTAATAAAAAGAACGTAAATAATAATAATAATAATAATAATAAATAAATAAATAAATAATAATGCAGCAATGACATAATTTTGTATAGATCAAATTATTATTAAATGAAATGTAAAAAATTGTTTATTTTTTTTAGATAAGTAAAACTGAGAGTAGAAAGAAATAAATATTTTTATTATAGTTTTTTTTTAAATAACTTCTAAAATTTGAATTTTTATTACATTCTTTATGTTAATATAAAATTATTATTTTTTATAATTATTACTATGAAATATAAGTTATATCATGATCGAAACACGACTGTGCATACTTTCAAGTAAGTTCGTGCATGATTACAATATACTTTCATGTTAGATGTTAAGCAAAGTTGTACTTTCTCTTAAGTGTGACCTTACCTTTTATAAATTTTCCTCTAATTACGATCAAAATGTTTCTGTAATTTGTTGGTGGTTAATTTATGCTAAACTGAAATAATTAATAAGTAAATTAGTATCAAATTCTCATTAAAGAAGGGTTATATACATGTAATAAGTTATAAAAGCACTTCAAAATATAAACATTAAACACATTAGAGAAAGACTATTAGGATTGTGGGCGATGAAGAATATACAAACATTCTAAAATGAGGGTAAGCTTAGGAAATAAAGTTAGAAAAATGGTAAGGTTTTGTCCATCATTTTGTGTGTGGGGCTAAAGATAAGTATAAAAATTGATGTGAGACAAAACTCAAACTCATTCATGTGTATGAATAATCCAACAATTTTGATTATTTTGTGGAAGATACACTCTCCTTTGCACCAACCATGTTAAGCTTGGTTGGGAAAGACCATTCCTTTACATACTCTCTCTTTTCACCAAGAATCTTCACTTAGGTCTTCATCTGAAAGTGATAGGCCACAAAAGTGGATCTTTACTTCAAGTAAAGCTTGTAACACCTAAGGGGTGTGTAAAAGAGTGAGAGTGGAGTAACATGAGGCAACATGAGGCAACGAGACTATCAACAAACTGACACAAAAGTTAGGAGTCGGAGATTTTGGACGATTGATTTTTCTAGTCTTTAGGCAAGAACCATTTTGGACTTTTGATTGTGTATATAGCTAGTTTGGTCAATCTAGGAAAGTGAAAGGCTTGCCTTGTCAAGTTGCGTAAAAATTCACAAGGGAAGTAGTATGATAAATAGGTAGGTTCAATTGTCGTTGGACCACTTCTGTGTACCATTTTCGACCAAACAAACCTATGTGAAATGAAATGGTATTCTCTGTTTGTCTCAACTGAAGGCCAATATAAATTGACACATTTTACATTTTTTTCAGTTTGAATATATTTTGGTTGGGTTTACAAGTTTTGTTCACAGCTTAAAATGATCAAAGTCAGTCTATTTCAATGATTAACTCCCAGTTTTTAGTAAAATAAATGTATTGTTGAACAATTTAGCTATAGTCCCTTAGTTGGTAGCTTAGTGTTAAAGCTTAAGGAACTTAAAATGTAAGGAGTGGGCCTTAAAATGTAAAGAGTAGGGTTCAAACCCTGTCACACGTCCTTGAATAGTTAATTTTTGTAGAATGAGGCCATGAAAACAGCAAGACCAACTAATAAGCTTCTCCAATATTGTTCATATATTTTTTAAATTTAGATAATTTTTTTTTAAAAATAGACAAAAAAATATTATATATATATATATATATATATATATATATATAATAAGAGATATATTTATTGTAAATAAAGAATATTTTATTTTATTAGATAAAACGAATTATAGAAATAAATTATTGAAACCAAGATAGCTTATCTTTATGTTTATTAATTTGATACTGTGTGTAAAATCTTGCTTAAAGTGGTAATATTGGCATCATAGGAGATTAATTTTCTTAGCAAACTTTATTTTATGCACAAGGTTAAAACCCAAAATATTGTTTAAGAAGAATCAAGTATATATTACTTAAATTAATTTTTATTGGTATTATTTTTACTTTTATGATATAATTATTAATTATTGAATAAGTGAGTGTTATTTAAAATATTATCTATTTAAAAATAAAATATTATAATTTATTTAGAAAAATACTAAATCACTTATTCAACAATCAAAACATTTAATTGATATTAATTTTCCTTTAAAAATTTGTTAATAATTTTTCAAAAAACTGAACAGATTTATTTCGTGATTTAATTATTTCAGAGACTTAATTAATATCACAGATTTAGAAAACAGGAATAATGTCAATCTAATCTTTAGTAAACTAAAATTAATATTTTGCTTGATAGAAGTTAGTATTAAATCAGATAATATATTTAAGGAGACTTGGAAAGAGAGAGAGAGAGAGTTAAAAAAGTAAATGACACATATTTGAATCTTAACTATGTCTTAATATTTGAATTATTTAGTGACACTTTTATTTCTAATAATTTAACTTATATGGGATTTTGATCTCTTAATTTTTATTATTAGCATTTAATTATCATAGTCTTTTAATTATTAAAATTTAGTTCTCCACCTTATATTTTGTCTCAGACTTTGTTTATTTGTATATGAGATTGTACGTGGTATTGATTTGTGCAGAACCGCAAACGAAAAACATATATAGAAATAAAAAGTTTTTTTTTTTGTTACATTTATGTATTTTTTTATTAAAATATTTTACATTTTTTCAATAATCTAAGAAATTAATATTATTTCATCCTTCTTGTATATTTTTATTAGTTTTTGTATGAAATATAAAGACTAACAACTTAATTTTAACAAGGAAATTACTAAAAAATTATGAAAAGCAAAAGACGATAATTGACGAAATAATTGAATATCGAAACTTACTTTAGTTTATTATTTACGCTACTCCCAAATCTTACGTGAAGTTTTCATTCGATTTAGAACTTCTTTTTAGTAATGCAAAAAAAAAAAAAAAAAACTAAATATAACACTTCAAAAATAATAAAAATACTAACTTGAAAGATTAAAAATATAAAATGTCAAATTTTAAATACGGTTTTGTTATTCTAATTTTTTTATTTTATTATTTAAATATTTTTTTTTATCTAATCCCTTCAATAAAGTTTCAGGTTATAAAGTTCAG